CCACTGTAAGTAAGTAGATGATGAACGATAAGCTTCGATTGATTGTTCGTTTAATTAATTAATACGGCAAGCGTGTGTGCGGCTCGAATACTTTCAAAACATGCACTCTGAAGCGAGACGGGTCTATATCATAAGATCTGTCTAGTAGGCTAGTATGCCAGTGGTGCAGTGGTGGTGGTGGTTGGGATCGATCATTTACCAGCAAGGCACGTCCTTCGATTCGCAAAGTGGTTCTTTTTTTTTCATGTAGTGTTTGTAGTGTGATTACAATAAGAGTTGCTTAGCCTCGATACAAAGAGCTATATGTAATAAGTGGTTCTTATCTACTGTCACGGCGAATCAATCAGAAGGGGGACACTTAAAAAGCTACCGACGAATGTTGTGTCACGTGTAAAAGACGCCGAATTATTTCTCTTGTTCCTTTCTTTCTTTTTTTTTGTTTTTTTTTGTTTTTTTTTCTTTTTTAATTCCTTTTCCGTAGTTACGTTCTCCGTCGTTTATTCCGAAAAAAAATGATTGGTCGATCCGGTCCAAATTCAAGATCCTTTTCCTTCTTGTCAGCAGAAGAGAGACAGGCGAGAGCTGCGTCGTACGAACTTTTCAAAGCGATTCATCCGCGCACGCTCTGTTTCTTGTCCAGCGACGCGGATATTTTGAGAAAAAAAGCACGTGCGCTCTCGAAAGTTTGCTTTTTATCTTTTTCTTTTCTTTTCTTTTTTTTTTCTGTGCAGGCAGTGCGAGTAGAAAAAATCCTGTTGCTTTCTTTTTTTCCTTTTTTTTTTTTTTTCCGGTACTTGTTCTTGACCGCTTGCTCTCTCTCTTTCTTCTTCTTCCTTTTTCCTTCTTTTTTTTCTTTTTTACTTGATTTTTTTTTTCAAAGATAGTTTCGCGCTTTTTGCAGAAGTATTGGAATGTTTTGTAGATTTTGTATTTTTTTGCAAGATGAGAATTTTAACCACGCGTTCCCCCCCTCCCCACACCTTAATAATGCCCGCGCAGGGAGAATATCGACTGACGAGCCGGACTCTCCTCCAGGAGGGGAATGCCTGTGAACAGAGAGAAAAATTTCAACGGTGAACAAAAATTCCGTTCGATCGTCGATAGAATTCGTTGATTTCGAATAAAATTATTCACAGTTTTTACGTAACGAATCGTTTCGTAACGTTTTATCGACACGATAACTCTACATTGGTAATTGTGTAACGATAGTGCAGCAAATTTCGTGCATTCGCGTCGATGCTCTTTATCCTCTTTATCCAGAGGATGACTTTAAAACGACGTCTATTCGAAGGACACGGATACAAGCCGCCCTATATGCACCCTGTCAACCCTAATCTGTCTCGTTTAACGTGTATTCTTACGTGACGGATCTCAGAGCGCCATAGCGGAGTTTCCTCCGCCAGCATCCCCTAGGTTACCCGAAGCGCTCTTCTCCATCGACGAGAGTGCGCCAACTGTGCCCTTGAATCTCATCTTGGCGTCATCCCCGACGACCACCGTCTTCTGGCAAAAGATCAACGTCAGGCAGCTGACCACGAACAGGATGCTGGGCAACAGCAACGCGATCAGGAACTCCTTGTACGTATTCTCCAAATTGAAGCGGGACACGACGATCCCCGTGTTGCTCTCGGCGTAATAACACGGGAATCTGGCTCTCGCGTTATGATCCGACCCGTCTTTCCCGTACTCGTGAAGAAACTCCTTGCACTCCTCCCTCAAAGTGTTCACGCAACCCTCGAGATTGATCAACAGACGGCTCTCGTTCGCTATGATGAGATCCTGTTCAGGTGGCGCGACCATCCTCGTCTCGTCCAACGGCTTCGTAGCGAATATGTTGAGGTAGGAGAGATAGGTGAAGTTGGTGAGATCGGTGAGCAGATCCTTCTCCAACACGGACCCGTTTATACAATCGACAGCCTCGACACCGAGGGTCGAGTTGAATATACCGTAGCACGAGGCCATCATCACGTCCCCCCGATCCTCGTGCCATATCTCTCGATTCGTTTGCACGTCTATGGCTCTCTCGCATTGGCTCAGATAAACCTTGTCCCCTGTCAACAGGATCATGTTCTTGTTCCTCGTCGGTATATCGACGCATCTACGGTCGCAGTTGTACGGCGTCCTGATACGCTCGCACGTCCCACGATTGCAATTGAACAGGCCGTCTATATCTATGCAGGTTATCTTGCCCCGCCTCCCCGAGCACTTCATAGGCGGGTCGGTGTCGTGGAATATGCACTCGAACGCGTCCGTTATGTTGATGCACACCCCGGACGAGCAATTGAACGTGCCCGTCAGATTTCGACACTCGTCCGCGATGCACTTCGATTTCTTCGCGTTCTCCTGGTCGATCCCGTAGCAAGTCTTGTTCGTTGTGTTGGTGCAGTTGGCCAACAGAATAGTGGAACCGTTTCTGCGTAGATTCACGTGGATCTGGACGCAGGGGCCGGACGTTTTCGAAAGGCACCACTCCCCGCAGCTGCCCCATTCACAGTTGTCCGCGTTCACAGCGCGTATGGTCGTGCACATCACCGGCACCTCGCTTATCCCCGATTGAAACGCCCTGGTGCTCGGCATGTAGATGGCCACGGTCAGGTAGACAAGAGCGACCGAGGAGAGGACCGCCGTCATCTGGCAGATGCAGATCGTCCCGCAGATCCGCCCGTCCTGCGGCGGGATCACCAAGTTCTCCACTGGCACTTGCTTAGGCATCTCTTCGATTCGATCACCAACGGCGTGTCGAGGGAACGATCGATCCTGGCGAGGTTTACATCGTTACTCCTTCGTGCTCTTCCAAAATTTCGTCCTCTCTTCGTCTTCTTTCTCTTAGACTTGGAAGAGATCGTAGCTAAGAGGTGTGCACAACGTTCTATCGATGCATAGAAGGGTTTTTTTTTTATAGAGTGTACGTACCAGCGAGGATCCCTTCCATGGAAACGAAAGCTTGTGTCAAATCAACAATCCTCCATTGTGTAACGTTTGTTTGTCCAGCTGTCGGTCGATCGATCTTTGCCTATCCCCTTTGTTTTATCGTTGCAACACTTGCTTTGGTCCCTTCGGATGGATGGATCGCTTCGTCGAGCTTCGCCAGATGCGTCGAGAGGGATGTTTGAGAAGGGAAGCTTAAGGTCAGGCCAACCTCCGCATCTCGAGAGGAGATATTCGCGTCAGATGTTTCTCGCGAATTCGTGGCACGATGCTCTTTTTGCTCGGCAGGAGACGAGGCTGGCCGCGCGCGTGTTCTGGTTTCGCGTTCGCTTTGCGCCTCGTGTAAGGTGCGCGGCTCGAAAGCTCGAAACGACGCGCATCGATCGATGCCTCGCGCGTGCGCCTCTTCGAACTGCAACGACGCCGTGTACTGCCGCATTTGACGTCATCGATGTACCCTCGTGCCATCGGGAGAATCTCTCTGGTAAAGGATAATCGTCCAGAGATGGCGAGATCCGGTTGATCCGCCGTCTTAATTGAATTCGTATCTTCCGATTGATGAAAAATTTTGATGAACAAGTTTTCTTATTCTCTTGTTGTTCGATGAACGTTCTCTTCGTTGAACGAAGAACGAATCACTATTTAATAATCGAAGCAATTGAATTTTAGATGTTTTTGTGGATGTCTTTGTAATTATAGGTTATATCACTGTATTATATCATATTGTAGATTTCTTTTTCTAGTAGATTTTTCTGCGAGAATTAAAATAATCGGTCAATTTGCGATACTTTTTTACTGATAATTCGTGACTCGTAAGTTTTCATCATTAACTCAAATATTATTTTAATTGTACAACAAAGTATGGCATGTTGTGCACGCAAATACAACTTGTCGTTTAAACTTTATTCGAATATGTATATATTGGATGAAACTGGGTCGAAGATTCATCGTTGAGAATAGATGCATTATTGATTACAATTATTTTTCAAATCAGAAATTTCAATCTGTTGAATATTCATTTTAAATTTTCTTTGGTTTCGACGAAACAAAAAGTTTTCATCGAAGATTCGAAAACGAACTTGGATTTCTCGTATTTCTGTGTCATAAAATTTTACATCAATCTATTGGAACATCTAGTTTCAAACGTTTTATGGAAAATCATATTTTTATCGTGTATTTCATTTCTTAGAATGCGAATTGTCATGCAACGTACTCATTTTAATAATCTATCTTTCGTGATATCGACGCGACAAAACGCGAACGAACAATTCGGAATTTTTATTTTACGCTTTTAAATTTAAAAAAAGGAAATTAATAAATACGAATCACGTGGGTAAAGTGCAATTAATTAAGGGAAAATAATTTCCCTTCACGACGCGCAATCAGGTCAGTTTTTCCTTCGAGATTATCGGTGGTGCGCGATACTAACCACCGCAACTGTGACACAGTTTCCCTCGCCATAGGGCTTTCAAGGCAGGTGACACAGTTCGAAGAGCGGGGGGACACAAGTAGAGAAGACAAAAAGCACCAAGTTCAAAGCATAATTAATTGCTTTGAATATAATTAAATATAAAAACCTTTTACCCCTTCAATTTTTTCTATCCCCTTTTAATTCCTCTAACAATATTTTTCAATCTAACCGCTTTCAATTCGAAAATTCAATATACAATTTCGTTTGCTGATGACTTATCACGGCTAAATTTTTCTTCGCTTAATTTTCTAATTAATACGGAAAACTCGACAATTGCCGCAATTACACCACTCTCGTAGCCACGCTCCTTCTACTTTTCTCGACTGGAAAAAGAAAAAAAAGAAATTTTCAAAAAACCCTACTTCGTGGCCCTTCTTTTTTTCCCTTCCATCGCGGAAATTACCAGAGATCGCGATAATACATTCGTTCCCGCGAAATTGCTTAATTATCAGCCCGCGTTTTTCCATAACATGTACGCTCCAGTTTTTTAATTCCCGCCAAGTCGATGCCGCCGATGAGGTTGTGACACAGTTTCCTCACCGTGGCTAGGACCTTCGTTGGCGGGCTGACACAGTTCCAGGCGAAGGTAACGGAGAGAGAGAAAGAGAGAGAAAGAGGAGACCTGGAAGGGGTGAAAAAAAAAAAAAGAAGGAAGAGGGAGGATGAAGTAGAAGGCACGACGCGTTAGCACGTAATGTAGTTTATCGAGCGTTACCCGCAGACGGTGTGGCACCTGCTGTTTTACGCCTTCTTCCTCGAGATCTTGGTCACTCGCGTCTATTACCTGCAATTCCATTACCGGGAAGTGCTTAAAAAGTGTTTTTCCAATTTTTGTTTCCCCCTCATTCTTGATTTTTTAATCAAAGAAAATTTCTTTGATCGCTTCATGGTAATTTATATGTTCATTTGGTTGAATTTGTCGAGTTGAAGTTAGTCTTGAAGAATATTTTATAATATCGTCGTTAGATCGTTAATTGCAGACAAAATGATCGAACGGTCTAACAGATGTACAGTTGTTGGCCAACTATTATTTTTCTTAATTAAAACATATATAAGTATATATTAATAATTTGTTTCCCCACTTTTTGGGTTCCAAACTTGTCCTGTTTCCAAATAACTTTGCCAAATATCGAAAAATTTTGTCTTTATATAAGTTAATATGATAATTAATAAAATTCGTGATTGAATTATACCCAAGCCTTTTAAATTTTAAAAGCACGAAGGATATTAAAAATTGCCAGCGATTCTAAATTTCGACCGACCAATCGAGCTACAAATTCCCAATATATTTTAATTTCCTCTACATCGCGTGTAAACGTTCAAAAACGAAACGTTAAATTTTACTCCAAACTTCCTTTGTGTTTCCTTTGTGTTAAACGAGAAGGCCATTTCCCCCTCTCCCCTCCCTTTACTTTTCTCCGTTTCCTGCATCCTTTTTGTCGCGTCGCGGCGCTCGTTAAACGAAACACGACACTTTCGTGCCCTCTCCGCCGCATAAATATTTCGGGCCAATTCCACGCCGTTCCCTCCGATTTCCCAGACTCGAGAACCGTACGCGAGGAAAAGTACACTCGGCTGCTGCTCGGCTTTTCTTTTTTTTTTTTTTTTTCCCCTCCTCCACCCCCTTTTTTTTCTCTCTCCTCCCTGTTTCGCGCGGCAATTTTCTTCGGGCAAGGCGAGCATACGTTTACTTGGCGGTGCGAGGTTTTCGTTTGAAACGCTTGGAACGCTTCGGGGAGAAGCGAGAAATTTCTATCGCCGCCTTTTCCCTGCCAGAAAGGGTAGAATGATTGTATCGCCCCGTTCTCGATTGTTATTGTTATTTATTGAACAGCTGACGACTTAAGGGAATCCATCCCTGCGTGGATTACGATATCGATCATCGCGAATCGATGAAAAGGTGGTCGCGGTGTAGACTTTTGTCTAGGAAATTGTAATTTTTATGATTGTAGAACGCGTAGAAGGAAGGGAGGGAGGGAAGGAGGGGTGATTGAATGAGTTTTAAGCGTATGGAAGTGGGACGAGAAAGTGGAATGAAAGTATAATAACGGTACTTTCTTTCGATTGTAGAGGTAGTGATAATGAAGTAAGAAAAATTTTAAATGTAAAACTTGAAACCTAATTTTGTTATATATTTTTTTTTTTCTTTTCAAAAGATTCCTTTAATTACGTTCAAAATTATAGAAGAAGGAATATCATACAAATTTCGGAAGTTATTTATCGTTATTTTTTAATTAAGAGAATTAAAATTCATTAGAACAGACTCTAAAATTGAGAAAGTATTTTTCATTCGCACAATTTTAAAATAAAATTTTAAGAAAATTATGAAAGGAATGAAAATAAAAGTGTGGAAGCAAGGTTTAAATATTATTTTATATCAAAATGAAAAAAAAAAAAAACAGATAATCAAGAACACGATGCACTTGTACTACTTCAATCACACATGTGATCTCATCGATCTAATCCAATCAACTTCTGTCTCCTACGCGTTACACAACATAAACTCAAACCAAAAGCTCCGAAAACGAAAAAAACCTACAATTTCAACTACGAACGAATCTTTCTCCATCAATTTTAATATTAACTTTTATCCACTATCGAAATCCACGCCATTTTATTTTACCACCATTAAAAACCCATAAAATACACCCTAAAATACACACGCCGAAATTAGAAACGAGTTTTATATTAAACGGGAATGCATGACGTTTTATCACCACGTGCTGCGTCCAAGAATAACCCAGTCGATCGATCGGTTAACGATCGCCTACTACCTAGCTTTGCACTAAATCAGCTGCACCTCGTTACAGAGATTACACCTTTGGGCATCGCCACCAACGAAACGAAATCGATCAAATTCAAATAACGAAATAACGTTTCAGATCTCGGCCAAGGAATATCAACGCTCCTTCGCGACAGAATCAAAAACACGAACCGCGCGCTTTTCGTCCTGAGATCTGAATGGAACTCGATTCGAACCGATCACCGACGAATCGCGATAAATATCGCTCAATCGGGCCGATCAACAACCACCTGTCAAACGTGTGCACGTTGTTTACAGGCTCTGCTCGAAGAGGCAGAGTCGCAGCGATCGGCCGAGCACGCACGGTTCTCGCCGCAGTGCCGCTAATCCGCTCGAAACATGTCCTCGACGCGGGGAACCGGGATGAAAAGCGTTTGCACGGGCGTGCACCCGTCAACTGATCGGTACTTACGTGAAACGGCGACGGATCAGCTGGTGGAAGAAGCCCCTGGAAAATCCGCTTTCCGCAGTCTCTCCCTGGTCTTCCTGAGGGAAACAAATATGGCGGTGCGCTACCAGTGGAGCTGCGATGGCTCCACCTCGTTGTTGCCGTATCGTACCAGAAAATCAATACTCCTGTTGCCCACCAATACCGAGGCTTTTTCCTCGAAACTCCCGCTCTCACGTCCACTGGCAACGATATCTTCCGAGGAGCTATACAGGACTGTACAGGAATATATAGCGATAGAGGAATTTCTTTCTCTCGTTTTATCCTCGATCTCCCTCGCTCTCTGTCCCTCGATCGTTCGCCCATCCTCGATGGGTTTGTATCCCTTCCGCCTCTGTCGTTACGCTTCGTTCAACGGTGGGAAAAAGTGGCCTGAATGGGAATCGGAAAATCAGATTTCCTGATCCCGTTAACCGGCCTCGAGTGCTATCGTTCCTATTGTCGCCCTCGGTTTACCACTGTTTCTGCTGTTCTTTCTCTCTCTCTCTCTCTCTCTCTTTCTCTCGTGATCGATAGCCAGGGGCGAAATGCTTCTCTTTCTTATTGGATCCGTGTCGAAGGGCGTGATGATCGATCGATCGATCGATCGATCCTCCTCGTTTTTCAACCATTCGATTTCGATTTCGGATGGAACCAAGACAGGGCTCTGATTAAAGTTTCTGCAACAATGGAAGTCGAAGTTAGCCTGCATTCTCACCGTTGTCACGGTGGTAGTTTTAACGGAAGGGGAGGAGGGGAGTGATATCGATCCGACAGTCGATGCGATGGAATTCGATTCTGCGGCATTTT